AAGGGGAAACCCTAGGAGTACGTCGCAGCGATACTGATGCCCGTTGAGAGTGGATAAAGAGCGATATAGAATGGAAAAGAAGCCCCGTTTAAATTCGATGTTTCCTATTGTATTGATTACGTCTGGACTGGGTTTAATAAATTTTTAATTTGCGAAGTAAAAACACCGAAAAATTTATGAAGTATACTCTTCCATTGTCGTAAACCGCTGTATTTTTTATACAAGTGAACTAATTGTTATTTATTGGAATGAAAATAAGCTCTAAACAAACCAAATAATTTTGCTCTTAATTAATTTTCACCAAAATTCAATTGACAAACAGTTTTTCTCATAGACTTCTTCAACATTTCAAACTATTTAAATATTTACTCTTTCAGACAAAAAATTAATTATTTTAAAATTCCTGTCCATTATCTTTTTTATATGTAAATTTTTGGGTATTATCGCATAACATTTTTAATAATAAGTAGGTACAAATTGCGTAAAGGTCATGGAAACTTGTGCGGCGTTTACACATAAATTTAATAAGAACACGGCATATAAATTACATTAGCATAAGTCAAATTACCCATCAGGAGAATTATACAATCGTCCGGGCGATCCGAAACAACGCCGAATAAACAATTAACATTTCGTTTTGGACGCGAACCGTGAAAGGTCGCGCGAAAACGGGAAGCCTATTGAAAGAAAGAATATAATGTTGGTTAAAAATAAATCCGGTATAATTGCGATGAACCAGACGAACGTGTGTACAGGAAACGAGAGAAAACAATCGGTGAAATTACTGGAATTGTTTCTCGTTTTTTTTTATTTGGAATTTGGTGAATTTGATTCGAAAAAATATTTGTATTGTTTGGATCCTACAAAGAATTGATTGTTGTTTGGGTTAAATTGTGATTTTTCTTTAATTATAATTAAATTTCCTTACTCTTTTTCAACTACATTTTCCTATTAAAACGATTTTCCTGCAGTATAAATTCAAAAACAAATCTCATTCGGATGTCTTGATGTAACTAACAATGTATTATGCAACCGTGATTGGATAAGTGAAGTTTTAACCCTTGAAATTAAATTAAAAATAAACCATCATTATTTAATCCAGCTTCGTTTATTACATAAACGTCGTTACTTTATTATGTTGTTGTAGATACCCCGGTTATTTCGGTACTTGTTCTTTATATTTTCACTATTAAAAATCTTTTCTCATTACAGCAAGGGTGATTTGAAAGTTTATAATGCCCAATAAAAAAAGATAGAATTTCGAAGATGACAAGTTTATAGGCAAACAGGATTTACGACGACACTCCCCAATAATTAAGTTATTAATATTCCGGAAAACAACGCCCCGTAACGAGCATGTTTTCCTTCCGCGATTTTCGTTTTAACACATTGATTAGACTTAATTATTCATCGATTCGCCCGAAAATATTCGAACATCTGCATATTTTAAATTTCACGAGACACATAGTGTAGGTATTAATCAGCCGGTTCGCGACCTTATAACGTTGATAAATTTTTAATGAAATTTCTGAAATTTTCGATCGCTATCCGAAAATAGCCGGCCGAGCGCTTTTGTCCCTTTAGAGCAGCTCCTCTTTATTAAGATTTAAGCGATTCCAGAAAGTTAGAGCGAGTTTCGGAATCCCCGCATCAGCCGGGATGCCCCAGTTATCGATTGATTTTATAATCGCTATATTTGGCACAGGGAATTTCTCCACCAGCTAGACGAAAACACTATAGCTCTCGCCGTTATTACCCCCAAACCAACGTTCCGAAAGGGCCATTAAGGCCATGTTTCGTGGAAGCGCATTTATGGAAATAGCGATTTCGATTTTAAGCGTATCGAAATGGGCGACTAAAATAATTATTGTTATGCAGGAGAATGGAAGATTGACAATGTCCAATGAGAGTCTACAAAAGTTTAAAGGGGTTTTTGAAGAAGTCTGAAGCAATTTTTAATAAATATATTTGTAACAGGTTGATTTTTACACAATTTTTATTTTTGTTATATCATTTTTTCAATGTATTACATGAAATAAACGACAATAATAAGTTTCAACATCACGACGACCTACATCTGCACTGGACCTTGAACTACGCGAACCTTCGGTCTCAGCGCATTGAGCCGTTCGTCGTGAAAAGAAGAAAAATAATGGCGTTATTCAGAGATGCCGTGAGTCACTTTCGTTTACCTGCCTGCGTGCGTACCACGAAAAAAAAAAGGCCGGGCGATGAAGGTTCTTTTCAAATTTTTAATTGCACCAGATGAAATTGTAATATTCCTTCGCCTTGAACTTGAAGGGTTCCGATGCAGAGAGCGAGCGAGATCGGTTCGTTTTTTCGGTCTTCTTCTGCAATTAAAAATAAATGAGATATTAATTCGGAAACACGGTTAATCAGAAATTTCATTTTTCACGGTACTGTAATTACTTACCAAACAATGTGAATCATACTGTGGGATCTTCGAAATTTTGGTATTTCGAGATGCTTCATAATGAAGCTATTTTTTCCTGTTTTGTATCATTAAAAATTATATGTGACAAGGCAGGCTACATTTTAATTTACTTCAAGCTGTATGAAAGGACTATTTAAGAAACTTGCCAGGTATAAACTAGAAAAGTAGATGTTAGGTGTGTGTAAGATAAAACTTCTTTTACCGCCTGTTCAGTTATATGTCTTGTAAATTAAATGTTAATAAACTATACTGAGTGTATTTTATGCACGACGCGGAGAAAATACCGATAATGTGCTAATAATTGTTGTTTTTTTAAATACGAAAAGTAAACAAATTTCTGCAATTCACAAGTTTTATTTTAATATTTTTGCGTATTAAATTTATTAAACTATCTCTCGTTTCCTTTATTTACGCATCTGAAAAATTATTACGCATATAACAATTTCAACTAATAACAAACCGAGATAACACGAATTTCTGAATAATGTTATTTTCAAAGCATTTATATGTTTTATTATCTACATTAATTTATCAAACCCGCAAAACCGTAAATTTGTAGAAAAAATAAGAAAATTATTTTTAATTCCTTGAGAGTAATGTAATGGAAATTGTTTTATGTTCATCAAGTCAAACGTCAGGGTTTAGGAAAGTTTCAAAGCTCACTCATTTAAGAACGGCTCTAAAAACTTAGGAAGTTGTTCCAAACATACAAAATTTCTTTAGTTTAGTGGAGTTTAGTAGAGTTTTCTTATCTGTATAGGGGCATTTAAATTGTTAATGCAATTTAGTAAAAAAACCCGAAAGCACGAAAGGAATAAATTAATTTCAGAATTATAAAAAAGCGCTATTCCATAATTTATATATGCAAAAATATAGGTTACTCGTTTCAATCTTCATATGTAGGCGATCGGAAAAAAAGTATCTAGCGTGCTAGCGTTGATTAGCAATAAAAATAATTGCATGAATATTGTATGAATAACGCAATTTCTTACGAACAATTACGTTTCGTTTTTTCCTAATTATTGCAGTCGCGTTCGTTGAACTTTGGCGTGCATAGATCTGTAATGTATTTATAATGTAGCTTCTCGAGAAGAGACGTCTCGTGCTGGAAAACTTTCAACCGTACTTATACAATCGAATCGATTTCGCTTCGACTTTAAACTTTGTTTTTAGCGACTGCTTGCCCTATCATGCATGCTTAGGTATGGCAATAATAAACTATGAACGTTCGTAAATTTTGCATTCTATTGTGGACCTTTACTACACTGTTATTAGATGGGTTTCTAGTGTGGTAAGTCGTGAAAAGTGAATTTATAATAATACCAGCCCATAACTCTTGTTTATGATTAGTGCTGGTAAATGCGATTCCTTATCACAGAACTTTAGTTTATTATGTTGACGTTATATTATAAAATACACATAAACATTTGTTATTTCATTAGATTCATTTGCAAACTTTGCTCATCAGGTATTGTATAGCTAAGTCAAGAATTTGTTGAATCAGAATAATAACATATTTAATTAGAACGTACGATTTTTGGGTAGATAAATTTTCGTTTCTTCTACACCTTAATATAATAGAACAATGGTTTTGATGTTAATTAATTCCAACCTTTTGTTTATTTTTTTTATTATTTCAACTAAAGTAAGAGATCAACAAACTATGAAGCGTCGAGCAGCAATAAAGTTTATTTTTCTATCCATAAAGCGTTATATTCAAAAGAACTCGAAGTTGAATCCTTTTGATGTTTTGTTTTACGCTTCGGGATTATCTTCGTGCACCTTGATCGTCGAGTTTGATAAGTCGAGTATGTAAAATTATCACAACATTAATTTAACCTGTATCCTAATCATTACTGCAACCTGCATTGTATTAGCTTTATCTGACTATCAAAGAGGAAACACAATTACCTACGAAGTGGGTAATTTATTATTCATTTTTTTTGTGTTTCAACAAAAGGAATTGATATACGGCTAAAGATGTGCTGTTTGGAGTTGAACCGATTTTTTTGTTTGTTTGTTTTTTCGAGACAACGAGGTCAAAGATTTAAAGGCTTTGTTATCGTACTCGAATTTCCGCGGGTTTTTATTTCTTGTTTTTTTGCCGAAATTTTTTTTTATTGCGTTAGGTTGTATGATTGTTTACTTGATCTGGTGTTTGTACTTAATTGTTTACAAGAACTCTACCCTTGCTTTTTTGGAAATTTTTAGATCAATTTTTAAGGTTCTTTGATGAAAAGTTGGAAGCTGTTATAAACACATTTATATTAATTTGTAGAGATTTGAGGATATGATACTACCTGCTATTATTGTTAAAGACCGTCTACAAAACACCGGCGTATTATTTTTCAGAAAACCGCTCGAAGGTTACGTATTTACAATCGTCGATCGTAAAAATGTTATTGTTTCCGCTCCGAAATGGCGCGGTCGAAATAAATGTTCATAAATTTTTCGAGGCGCGCGATATTTTCCGACCCGCATGTGTCGTAAATCGCCGGCAATAATTGCGATAAAATAATAGGCTTTTTCCTTTTTTCGCTTTCAGACCCAACCACAGTCAAACGGCGACGCATTCGGCCGCCGACATATACAAGCCATCCAGGTCCCCCATATCGACTGCAGCGGCCCGCTACCCTTACCCATCCTCGCCCCAGCTGCAGCCACCGCCCCAGGTAAGCCTATTTTTTTCTAAATAGCGCCGCGAATTTTTTAAAATAACCATTTTTTATTACCTACATAATTTTTAAATGTGTTGTTTTCGTGTAACATTGACTTAATAGGATTAATAACGCTCAAAAAGCTTTTGGGTCAATAAAAACCGCTGTGTTCAAAATATATTCAGTGTAAATTTAGATTTTAGTCGATTTAATTTTGGTGTTTGAATATATTTATTTACCATTTTGGGATTCTATTAATAAAGTTTAAAAATCCATTATTAATTTGCTCTCTGAATTGTATTATCATTCGGGTGCAATATTCAAAGTTTCTTCAAAATTGCACAGATAATTACTAAAAAAATTGGTTACATTGAAATAAAATTTCCACACTTGTAGGTATGAATAATAACGAATTAATTAAGTAAATTAGTTAATAATAAAACAACGTCTGGTGAAATGTATAAATTAGAAACTAGACTCATTCAAAGCTTTTTTAACATTATTTTCCAATATGAAAAACTATTACATAATTTAGAATTGTTGAGATCGCCCTGTAAAATTAAGCAATAAAGCGCAATAGTTGTTAATCATGGACACGTTTCGACAGAATGCTCCACCTCAACAGCAGCGCTACCAGCAAGCGCCGCAACAGCAACAACCGTCTCCGGCTCCGGTACCGGTGGCGGTGTCGCAGCCGCCGCCTCCGCCCATCATATCCAGCGTCTTCCATCGCGACTACCGGCAGAACAGGATATCGCTGTTGCATCCGGAATACGGGCCGGGCGGCCGGCACAGGCCCGACCACCACCAACCCAACGTCCAGCCGGGAGTGGTGTGCGTCGACGGCGGAGGAGGAGGCGGGGGCGGCGTGGCCGGCATTGCCGGCGGTGGAGGACTCGCGAGCGGCCAGCAACCGTTGAAGAAGATGCGCCTGCAGGACAAGGAGGGCGTGATGCCTTTTATCATTGACACACGGGTGAGTGTTCGGCGTCGATCTCAAGTTTTTTTTTTTAATTGTTTTATAGGAAAAGTCAAGTTCCCTGTGTTTAGTGCACTTACAAACGAACGTATCTTGTTATAGAACAAAATTTTGTTCGTTTGTTCTGATCGGGCATTCGTGGGATTTGTTGGATTTCATTGGTAGTGGAATTCAACAAGCAACAATAACGCGTAATATTTTATAGCAACTGTTTTGTTTTTTTTTTTTTGGAAGTTAAATTAGCAATTCAATGGAAAATATCAGATACATTTTAAAATCTTTTATGACGTTAATTTTGCTAAAAATGTACAATCTCCTGAGTCCGAACGATTAAAAATATGCCGAGCGATTTAGACGAGGTAAACTCCCAGTTACCAGTAAAATATTTTTTTAGGTTTACAATACCCCAGAAATCTCGAATTTCCTACAAAATTTACCCGATATCAACGTTTGTAACGCCAGGATTCGCCAAAAAAGCAATGACATTACTATGACAGAAAATATAAATCGCATTTACCCCGAGGAAAGACCCCCAAAACGACCTTTTAAGATAGCGTTTTAGCGCGTTTATTTAATTCGGGTTTTTTGGTTGCAAGGAACAGCCGCCGGGGGCGTACAATCCACCGGTCGAGGCCATTTCGCCGACGCCAGAACAGCTGAATCAGGATGACCAAGCATTCCGGACCACCAAAGACGAGCTCATCCAGCAGATAGGCCGAGTGGACAGGGAGATCGCCAAGGCCGAATCGGCGATATCCATATTGAAGAAGAAACAAGCCGAATTGGAGGAGATCGCCAACAAGCCGGCCATCAAATCCGAAGTGGAAGAGGACACCACGCCGAAACACCAGAGCTTACTCCAGGTAACTACTCCAACAACACCCGGTGAAACCGGTAAACGTAACGTCTATTTTCTCGTAGAAAATCTACGCGGAGAACAGGAAGAAGGCGCAGAGCGCGCACGCGCGGCTCGACTCGCTGGGTCCCAAGGTGGAATGGCCGTTGTACAATCAGCCGAGCGACGCTCCGATTTACCACGAGAACAAGCGGCGCAACGTGGCGTTCAAGCGCCGGCTGTTGGACTACTTCAAGAAGAGGAACACCGAGAAGGAGTCGAGGAACTCCTATCTGACGGACACCTACAGCAAAATGATGCAGGACTGGCTGAGGAAGGTCGACAAGATCGAATCGAGTACGAAGCGGAAAGCGAAAGAGGCCAAGAATAGGGAGTTCTTTGAGAAAGTTTTCCCGGAATTAAGAAAACAAAGGGAAGATAAAGAACGGTAAAATCTGTTCTTTTTTTATATATTGAATCTCCTTCACAGCCTCATAGTCAGTTTAAAGTATATTATAAACAATTTTTTTATCAATTTACTTGTTATCGTCTCATCCTCGTGGTGTTTGTCATTGTCTAGTTTGTTTGCAAGCCTTAACGACATCTTCATTACCTTTTAACTAATTTTATTCGTGTCGCGTTGTCGCAACAAAATTAATATAGTCGCTGTTGAACTTTTAGGTTTAACAGAGTGGGCTCTCGAGTGAAATCCGAGGCGGACATGGAGGAGATCATGGACAACCTGCAGGAGCAGGCGATGGAGGACAAGAAGATGCGTAGCTACGCCGTCATACCGCCCATACTGTTCGATCAGCGCGAGAGGAGGAACAAATACGACAACAACAACGGCTTCGTCGAGGACATGGAGGCCGTGTACAAGAGCAGGCAGTTCCTCAACGTCTGGTCGAACACCGAAAAGGAGATATTCAAGGAGAAATACCTGCAGCACCCGAAGAATTTCGTCGTTATAGCGTCGTATTTAGATAGAAAGTCGGTCGCCGACTGTGTACAGTACTATTATTTAAGTAAAAAGACAGAAAACTATAAACAATTGTTCAGGAAGGCCAGACAACGGACGAGGAGTTCGAGGAACAATGCTCAGAAAGTTAATAGTAGTGCCAATACGTCTGTGGTCGATATCTTGACGACAGGTAAGAATTTGTTCGGAAAATTCTTGATACAAAAAGGTATATTTTTTTACCTTTTAATGCCCTCCAATTCAGGAAGATTTGTTTTGCGAAAGACTGTTTAAAAAGTTGTCACGATTTGGCATTTTCCTTCCTATTAATTATTGCAAGAGGCTTGCAACGTGAACCAATTATAAATTCAAATAGGTCCTCCTTTGGACGCTAACGGGCAATTTGCTCGAAGCGAACACCGATTTGATTCAAAACGGGTATTAACTACCTTAGTAGATGCCATTTTAGGTGATCAATACCTGTTTGTATTCCGCGTTTTACCAGTAGAGGGCGCGCGTAGTCGAGCCCTTCAACCACGACAGGAAACTAGTTTTCCCATCGAATAAAATCAATTTTATCTGAATTGTAAATTAGCACGAAAAGGAATCTTCTACATAGTTGTTGTAAGGTTTGGTAGATTTCCAAAATGTGGCCTCAGAAGGACCATTTATTCACGTTCATTCATTACAGTCTGCAAAAAAATATCTTCTTGAAAGTAGTTAAGATTAGTTAGATTAGTTAGAATTGTTGGAAGAAACGCAGAGGCCAAAAATTAAAAATTATATCAAGGAAACCGTTCTTCAAGATTCGGAAAATGATCTCAATGAACATTTCCGTATTACAGGATACCTAACAATTGCTCGAGGCGTTCAAGCAAGAAATGCTCCAATCTTACAACGAACTTGTATACATCAGGGCATGCGCAATAGACTATTAATCCAATCATAATTTAAACATACTGCTAGAACAAACCTTATATTCGCATTTCGCAATGTTCTATAAGAAAGTACTAAAGTTTGTATGAATTTTTGCAGGTGTAACGACCCGTCTCCAGCGCGAGCAGCAAGCCAGAACGGTGCAACCGTCTCGAAGCGAGCCCGCCAGCCAGCCGACGCCGACGAACGGCGAGCCGCCGGCGACGGCGGCCACGCCGCCCGCCGCCTCCACGCCCACGCCCGGCGCCGCGACCTCCACGCCGGCCGCGACGTCGGTGGCGAGCCCGCCGGGCGCGGCGACGACGACGCCGACGACGGCGGGCGCGATGCCGACGGCGTCGCCCGCCACGGCGTCCACGTCGTCGGAGATGGCGGCCACCAGCACTTCTGTGATTTCGAGTAGTAGTAGCGGCGCGTCGTCGGTGGTGGTGACGCCGTCGGTGGCGGCGACCAACGCGGACGGGGACGGCGCGACGGCAGCCGCGGAATCGGCGCCGCCGGCGTCGAGCTCGTCGGAGGAGGCGAAGCCGAAGAGTTTCTTAGGGTTCGCCGGAGCGACGGCGGCGACGTCGTCCGACGACGCCTCGAATAAGGGCGGTTACGCGGCGAGCGAGGACGGCGTCAAAACGGGAAACGGGAATTCGATTGGACAGGACGGTGTTAAGCAGGATATGATGGTGGATGGAGTGTCTGTTAAAAAAGAGGTGGAATCTCCTCAGGAAGTGATAAGGTGAGAGGCATTTACCGAGAACAGTATTGCATGTATTTCTTCTGCAACGTCTAGCCTTTACCTATACAGCTATTTGGCGACTTTAATTTACAAGTAACCGATTGCCTACAGAGCAAAAGACCACAAACATCCAATTGGTTTATTACAAGTAAATCTAGTAAAAGTAAACATACAACATCCGAAATCAGTAAGGAGAAACTTTGGGTTGTTACATTTTAAAATTCGATAGATTGGAAACCATTTTTCTCTTTTTAATAATTCGAATTCGGCAACGATGGCGGTTCGGTTAGCATAAGTAAACGATGCCGGCGGTTACGGGAGAAATAAGAGATATTAAATTCCCCTTTCGATATTTCTGATTCAATCGGCGTAATTTTGACAAACACAATTTTGATTACAATCTAGACGAGTGTTTCGGCGCTCTTCGCCTCCCTAATACCTCCGCTCTCTACCGGGACCAATCCCCCGGGACTCTGTATTACTGCTGAGTGCACAATTATTGAATAAACTTGCACATCAATTCTGTAAATTGATTACTCTAATAGGATAAAATGCAAAACTTTTTTTTATATAAACGATTCTTCGTTGTTTATCTTTAAACGTAAAGGTTTATATTTAAATTAACGTCGTAATTACGTTTTTATATTTTTGTATAAATTAATTTTTATTTTATTTTTCAGTGAACAAAACATGACATCTACATTAGGTGAAAACAAAAAGAAGAAGGAAAGAAGAAAAGAAAAAGATTCTCACATTGAAACTAGCGACGAAGAAGCTAATAATTTACAAGGTAAGGTTTTTGCATTACTTTAGGAAACACAATTAAATATCTACTTAATTGGGTAATTTGTATATCACTTAAGTATTTCATACTTCGATAATTAAGTATTTAATTAAATAAATGTTTTGGATAATTAGTACAGAATATTTGGGGTAAATTTTGTCAAATTTTAATAGGCTGTACGATTTATCGATTCGAATAGAAAAGAAATTATTAATCTGAATAATCCAATGAAGTAAATTTTTAATTTAAATCCGCTAAAATTATCGACGTAAACCGCTTTAATAAAATAATAATTCGAATAAATCAACATCATAACTTTAAATGTTTATTTAAAATGATATGTTTAGTTCCAATTTAATTATTATAATACACATATTTACAACTATTTATCGGAATTGAGCGCCTCCACGTCTATAGCGCTGCAACTGCTGTCCGTATTGACGGCGTTCTCCGCTATAATCTCGTTGTTTTTGTTGGTGTTATCGGCCATTTCTTCGGCGTGGCACAGCTTCCTGTGCTTGTGCACGAAATAGTAGCTGGGAAATTTGCTGCCGCACGTTTTGCACGGGTAATACTGCACGTTCATGTCCAGCAGCTTCACCTCTCGCTTGGCCTCCTTCGGCGTCGCCTTCGGATCCATCGCGATCGGATTCAAGTGCCGCCGGGCGTGCTTCTGATAGCAATACTGCGATTTGAACGTGTGATTGCAGTAGACGCACGTGAACACCTCGTTGGTTTGGTTCTCCGATTCCTCGTCCAACTTGTCCCTGATGTTCTCGTTCATCACCTTGTTGAGCGCCTCGTTTTGATCGACCTGCTGCCTTTGGTACACCTCCGGCGTGGGAACGACGCCGTAGTTTTTGTTTATCACCCTGTGGAATTTGACGGGGCCGTCGCAACAAGCTATGTCGATGACCACCTTTTCGTTGGCGTTCGATTGGCGCTTCCGGTGCTTCTGTTTCTCCGACGGTTTCTTCGCGTAGGGCGTTTGGGGCGCCTCGACGTCGGCGTCGTCGCTCTTCGAGGTGGACGGGCGTTGCGGCGACGGCGTCTCCTTGGCGTTGACCGCCTTGAAGGGGGTGTCTTCGGATTTTCGGAAGCCGCTGTACGTCGGCGGGTTGATCTCCTGCGACGGCAACGCCGCTTTCCTGCTGGGTATCGGTTTGATGACGTTGGATCGCAATTCGGGCGGTTGCGTTTGGAGCAGGAACGACCGGCATATCTCCAAGGCGCTGGGCATGTGGAGGATGTGCGTGGCCAGCAGGATGTTGTAGATGTTTGTGATGTTTAGGTCCAGGTAGCCCGTGTACATGAAGGTTAGCAGCGACGAGAATTCGTCGATGTTTACGTTTGGTACTGTGATTGGCGCGCCACCTGCAAAAGAAACGATTTTAATGTTGTTTTAAATGAATGTTTTGAGGAGTTTTTGCGGTTTCATAGTTCAGAAATAGTACCTTGTTGATTGGCGATGGCAGCTTTGAAGAATCCGCTGTGCGTGGTTAAAACGGCTTTGTGCGCCGAGAATTGGGTTAAATTGGGCCCGACTTGGAGAATCACGTCGGGAGCGCCCGGTATAGTGGAAGTCGATGATAGATTTAGCGGCGTCGGGGGCAGAGCCGGGTGAAAAGGCGGCAAACCGCCGCAAGGGCCTAGCGATAGCCACGCTCGGTAGAACGAGTACATTTTTATTGCTGAAATCGAAAGTTTTTTTTGGTAAAATTAATAAACTACCATAGTTTTTTATGAGAATTTGACAATGAGTGTTAATACCGTTGATTTTTCATTCGGTATTTTTCTTTTCAATCAAAATTCAGTTTATAATTGTGTAGGATTTGATTTAATTTGATTAGAGTAATTGAATATAATGATTGAATAATCTACTTTAATTGGTACGTAATTGACAGTAAAATATTAAAAGGTAAACAGTATTATCAATTACTTCATTTCTAGATTTTCTATAAGAATCTGGGAAAACTGAAAATTTTTTAATTCTAAATTTGTTTAGTATTATGAAATATATTTTAAAGTTATCTAATTTACCAAAAAGGTATATCAAAATTCAAAAAAAAATAAGAACAGAAAATTAAATTTTTAAATTGAATATTAATTCAATGTTTAATCACGCTTTCCTATTTTTTATCAAAATCTGCTGTTTAATTAAGCCTTCAATTACCCACAAATTACCTTCGTTTAAAACATCTAAAATACACTACCTATCAATTCAGCTAAAATAATCCTCGCACATTACTAAAATATTCTAAATTAATTAGACCGGTATGCAGAAATTAAATCAATCAATTTAATCACACTATAATTACTACACAACCTATTTAATTTAAACCCTAAACTTGAACAAATATATCCAATAAACTCACCTAATAAAACGTACTAATCACCATTTAACTCATAAACAAACACCAATCGAAATCCACAAAAAAAAAATAAATTTAACGAAACTTCGACTCAACGATCCCACATGACCGCGCCACAATCAAAAGTCATCATTACACTGACAGCCGTCTTCATGACATGTCAGAACTTTATAGCCATATTTCAAATATTCCAGCCCATCTGGAAAGCACGGCGGTGGTGGGAGGCGGATCCTCACCATTCCAGACTACGGTGGCCGGTTTGGATTCTTTGCTTTCCGCGCATTCCGGACAATTGCGAGGGTTAAATTGGTAATTACCGCTATTGGAAAGGCCGCGTACACGCCGGGGTTTTCACGTGTGTCGGCGTCGCGGCGCTCGTTTTCGACGCGCAAACGGAACAGTCGGGATTAGTCGAATGTTGACGTTTCTTTTGATACGCGAGATTAGCTTTGGACTTTGAGATGGAAATTTGCAATTGGTCGTTAGCTAATGTCGAATAAATGCATAAATTTTATTAATCTACTGACAGCGTTATTTGTATCTTTCAATGACTTTTTTTTAAGCTCTCTGTGTTAAAACCGTTGTTTTTAAAGCACTTCAATGCCTCAAGTATTTACAGCAATTCATCCACCTTTGAGCTTTAAATTATGAAAATCCTCCGGACAATCGCGTTTCTATTTCAATCGTCCCCGTTTCAATTCGAGCCCTCCCTCTAGTTTAAATAATAGAATCGGTTTTCATCGAGATCAACTAGCAGAAAATAAGCCGTCGTTATTCCCGTTAACAAAGGACGTCGGAAGAATCGAGCCCGCGGCTTCGCCCGCACACCAATTCCCGGTTTAGAACAATCGCGACAGCGAATATATCCCCATAGGAAATACATTATAAACGTCTAAATTCGCGTGGAAAATCTTTTCATTACCCGTCGCCCGGCATCGTTTTAACGAGCCCGCGCGCCTGTAGATTCGCCGGGATCCGAGTGTGTGTGCCGTGTTTATTCGAAAGGAAATCCTCGAGAGATTCCGAAACGGGGGTAGAGTCTATTCGGGAACAATGCGTGGCCCCCCTTTTCTCTATAGTATTGTTTGCTTTTTGCTAGGATAAATTTATTGTTTTGTCAGTCGCTCATCGCTGGAAAATCGCTTTATTTAGAGCCTAATCGATGATTTGATATGCTAAAATCCATAGGTATTCTAGAATTACGATGTTATTAACGATAAAACCGGCTAGTATATTATTTATTGTGTAGGTACTCAAATTTTCGTAAGTCTATTAATAATAATACGAAAGCAATTCCTTCATTTCACTACATTTAGTGTAATAAATAAATTACAAAATATGTTAATAAATATTTTTGATGTAAGTGGGCATTTATTACTCGTTTATTATTGGAACATTTTATGGCGAATTACATTTGGAATGCCATAAAAATATAATTAATATGCCCGAAGATAAGGAAATCAATCGGGTTTATTACGGTTAATATCCCCCCGTATGAATTGTGGCCTTTTTCTATCTGGGGTACTTAATCAAAATTACATTGAATGAGCACGACATATAGCGTACAAATAATATTTTTGTAAACGTTTTTAATGTGTCTCCTCCTTGCGAGGTGCATTAAAAATTGAACGAAATAAAACATTATTGGTACAGGTTGCGATAATATCGAAACAATTTCGTTATTGCTTCTATTAGTAAACTTCCATATTAATTTGTGTGTGTGTATGTTTTTTTTTTCGTTATCTTTCGTGCTCCTGCAATAGACATGAAATCCATTTAATAAATGCGTGTAGTTGTTTGATAATTTACCTAATTATTTTTTTATAAGTATCGAATAGTTCGAATTAAATTTTAGCATTAAATTTACATAATCATTCCGTGGTTGTTTCTATTACTTTAGGTGTTTTTGATTAATTCATTAAAGGAACTAAATAAGAAATAGTATTTGTTAAGGAATGATTATTTGGCGCAAACATCTTGCATAGTTGTTAATAGACTTCAATAACTGCTCTGTACCCGTTCTAAAACCGAAGTAATTTGGAATTGCTTTTCTGGGACTGGAAATCCGAAGTTGGAGTTTACCTGCACCCCGAGCAATTAGTAAGTTACATCTCGACGGGCGCCTGTTCACTGTTGATTTTATCATGTAATTAGGATTATACGATAGAAACGTAACCGATACGGCAAGTTACCAACTTCCAATTTACCCGACCGAAGGATAATCTCTGCGCGCTCTTTGTTTAAACTTCATTAGCGGAGACCTTTCGTAGAAATGCTATTTAATAGGTGTGTCCGATTTAAAAATCGATCTAGCCACATTTATTTTTTGTTTTCTATTAATCACCGGATTGTTCGATGCGGTTATTTGTCAATTGCCGGGTTGAATTTTGAAAGAATAAGCTGCAGTTAATCAATTATTTCACCATTATATGCGAAGAAAATTTATTTGCAAACGATATCTTGGAAGAAGAAATATATTTTCTCGATGTTCTGAAATTGAAATGCTGCATGCCCCGAAAGAAAATAAATACATTCAATAACAATCCGGTTTCGATTCGAATGCAATTATTGATATTAAAACTAATATTTGCGATTCGAGGATTATTGAAATTGATTTGCCCGCGTTCGGATGATTATGTTAAATAAATTACTGTCATACATTTAATAAAATTGATGTCTGTTTTATTGCGTTAGCGTTGGCATTTCGTACGTTCAGAACCGATAGCGAACTAGTTATTTTTAGATAAAACGTGAATGTTTTCTCCAAGGGATTTACGAATGTCATGATGGTTTTTGGCGATTTAAATAATTTTGTTATGTCCCACTATTGCCAGAAGTAATATATTTTTTCCAATTTATACCAACTTGACAATTATGAATTTGTAAGAATCCCTTTATTAATTTGGCATAATTGGCTGGTCTTTCGCTCTATCTGCAGTTCGGTTTCCATCTGTGCGAAATTCGCATGTGTAGGCAAAATGATTAATAATTATAATGCAAACCCATATCAATTAGTAAAATGCCAGGTAATCAAAAACAAATCAAATATATATGGCTGTTGGTAATTTTAATCAACGATGAACTTGTTTGACGGAGCGCTCACTCGTTGCGAATGCTTACAATTATTTTGCGTTTTTTCGCGGTGAAATTTTTCGAAATATTTTTTGCTCATTTGGCGCTTCACGCTCGGATTGAGGCTTTTTTTTTCGCTGCGTATCGATTGGAGTTTTGGCGAAAAATAAATAATTCGATTTTGTGATTCAGAAACGTTGAAAATTAGATCATCAATTTTCGCCCGCGAACGAATTTACTGTTGCATTGGACTGTGAAAAATTGACCCCTTGTTTAATTAATACTAAATTGTTCGATAGAATAAAATTTAAAAAAGCGCAACCGGACAATTCCGCGGTAATTAGTCCCAATTTAAAAAATTCTACACTTGCTTTATACAGTAGGTTTCATAATAGTATCGGCTCTCTAAACTCTTTTTACATTGTCGAGATAAAATTACAACTTAAAAAAACCGCGATCATCAATTCTTTTAAATTACCCTCGAGTGAATTGCAGAAAATCTGATTGATTTTTAAGTTTTTATTTCGCCTGGCAATCGCTCGCAGCGTTTTCGCCGGGAGATTTCCATTTCGAACTCTGCCAGTAACTTTCCCTTAATTAGCGATTACGAATTAATTGGGATCGTTAAAAAATCGCGACGGGCGTATTTTCGAGCTCTTGCTCTCGGGTTTCCAAGCAGCAGCAGCATCAGACGGAATATAAAAAGTATGTATTTTAATATTTACCCAACGACTCTTAATTAATTTATATTACCAGTTAGATAAATTTGATGTACAAAATAAACAGGCAGTCGTTACTGTGGTGAACGGATGTTTCTGTTAAATGAACGTAATTACTTCGAATTACGTTGAATGTATTTAATAAGACAAATTGAATGAATATACTTAGGAATTGTTTACTTCAGCGCGAAATATCGGCCTGGGTTGGGGGAAAATCCGACGATTTTAATGATGGAGTTTCATTTTTCAATTTACACCAAATCGTTTTGTAAATTTATTTACAATCATTCGTTCTTGTAATTTATACGAATTTCTTTGATTATATTATTTTTAACTTATGGATTTCGTAAATTAAAAAAAATATTTGGATTACATAATTAAAAAGGAAGTTGGGTATTAGGGTATAAATATTTCCCTGCTCGATTCGAGATTCGAGTAAATTAAAGTGCCGTCCGCGAATTGCTCCTAATAAAATATTCGATTTATTTGCACAATGTCCCTTATTAATGTAATAAAGTAGCGGGTAAATAAAGGCGGTTCATTCGGAAAAAAGCGCTTTAGGCATATTTCATTTGAGATAGATAAAGGAAAATAGCATTTTGTTTGCTCGTATCGACAGCGGAGTCTGTAGGGTATACGACGAGGCAACTCGATTTCTACATTTCCTTCTTCCCTTTTGTAAATTGCGGTTGTACCCGGGGAACAATCTCATTCACTGTTTGAACTTTGTATGCGTAAATTTTATGAACTCGCACTCGCTTTACCACAGTCTAATTATTAACGAAAAATAATACTGTTAGCTTAGGGTATCTTATTAAAAATCGAAAGAATCAGGTTTTCCATTGAATCTATCTTAAGGCTATAGAAAGTAATAAATTCCCGGAATTAATAAAAGTTGAATATTTCATGAGTTGATCCGAGGCAACGTTAGAGAACCGGGACGTCTTCCCGCCTTATTCTTTCCGAAATAGATGTAATTTCGGATAAATTCATAAATGAAACGGTTTTCATTACGTCCGAAACACTTAAATGTAATAAAATATTCTCAAAGTTAAGCGCACTGTACGCCAACATCTATTATATGGCCGGCCCAAATTGGATATAAATATTTAATTTAATTACAGAAAAGTGTGTGTACTCTTCATTTGCCCGGACTTGATTTGATTCGCTCAGGTCCTTTTTTTTTCGTATTTTATTTTCATTCACAATTTATCGCCATAAAATGATGAAAAATCCGAACGGGTTCGTTCGAATTTGAATTTTAGAGCGGTTTTAATTCGAGCGCCCTTTTTTGCGTCAAATCTTTTTTAAATATTTATATTTTGGACTTTCTAAAACGATTTTGAATCGAAGTTATTGTTTGATATTTTGAGTATATCGTGCAAAATTGAATCATTTCTGTTCCATCACTGCACCTTTGTCGTATTTATTCGGGGATTTATCTTTTCTGTTAGGTAATTGGCTTCTATATTCGCAAGTTAAACAGTATTCAGGTTATGATATTCTCTCTATATCGCTGAAACGTACAGCCGTAATTTAAATTCACTTTGGAATAAACTCACCGACAAGCTAGGAGTATTTCGAGCAGAATAAAATCGTTTAACTTAAATAAATTAATCACTAATTAACTCGCTTATTTGTTTACAATAATTTGTACTGGAGTTTCTAGGTAAAATGTTTGCTTTTTCCTAAGATTTAAAGGTACTCGAATCGTTCTGCAAAATCCGGAACAGTTCTGTACTGGTAAATTAGGAATAAATGAAATTGTGCATGCATAAATCAACAGAACGCATGTGGCGTGTACGTGAAAAAGCGGCGAATCGAAAATGAAACGTCTAATCAATCCGGAACACTTTGAGATGAGGCGGGAGCGTAAAAATTCATGAACCGGGCGTTGCGTAACAATGGGATACGGTAATTAATCACGTCCCATCTGAACAATTAGCGAAATTATCGAATTTACAATGCGCCGTTTCTATACAAATGGACGTGTAATTCGTACGAATATCGCATTTATTGACACATCAATCGTTGGCAATATTGTAATTGTCGCGCGGACCATTTGCGAAAACGCCGACCTGGGGGAATTCCATTGCTCACTATTAAAATTTAATTATAATCTCGAAATCCCCTTGCAACGGGTTGCGCGGAAATAACTTCTGACGTTCGCTCTTGTTGTTCCAATAAATTATCGTTATAACTTTGGGCGAAGTTAACTTTAACTCTAAAGTACCGCGTGTTTGTTTTAATAATAGAACATCGTATACTTAAACTTTGAGCCGTTTTGTAAGTGCGTAAAAACAGGAACAAAATACTTGTTCGATAAACCAATTCGAAGTTGCTGAATCGATTGTAATTTGCTCCGTGCAACTTGAATATGTCGATTGGGTGGTTTAATTTCATCTGAAAATAGATGATAAACTTGTAATTGCGAGATTAATGAGGAGAAGAGCGTATGTAGTATTTACATTCATCTGTTGATTAATCCACGCTAATTAAACCTCAATTAAAACGCTTCTTTTATTTATCTTTTACCCACCGTATCTGCTCTTATTAGACATGTACGGGTAAATACCACGATGCTTTTTACGCGTATTATTAATTACAACGAAGCTTTTTATTAAATAATCCGTCGTACTCGACTCGTTATAGATTTTCCATGCGATTCAGCTACATCGTTTCACACAAAATTAGTAATATCTGATTGAACCGATGGCAGGTACTCGACATATTGCGTTGTTCGTTTTATTATTCATTGTTAGGCGTCGATCACCATTACCAAACGCGGGCGACAAACGAACGCTTTTACTCGCCGGGATAAGTCCCCGTTATCGGGAAATCTCCATTTGTATTCTACCATTTGACACGGTTTATCCGACCGCCGAGCCCAAGAGAACCGTTCAATAAATTAGCGCTAAGAGACGCGCGCTAATATTAAAACAGTTTTGGTTCTCTCTATGCATCGTTGAAGTTAAAGATTGTTTTTTTGTTTGTTGCAGATAAAGCAGTTCAAGGGATTTGCGTGGTGTGCCAGGCCCAGCTGGGTCCCCAGCTCCATTCCAGACCTCTGATAGCGAGCCAGGCGTCGATATACGGGCTGCGCGAGGAGCAGGTGCCGCCCAATTCGCGGGTGTGCAACACGTGCCGGTGCAAATCGGTGCGTTCGCGCTACACCCACTGCCCGCTGCCGTCCTGTCCGAATTCCAGGGGCCGCGTGAAGCGGCTCCGATCGCTGCCCGATCGACTCCAAGACCTGCCCGTCGACGTGAAGGAGCCGCTGCTGGCCGAATTTCGCGTGCCGAACGGCGTGACGAAGTGCTGCTCGGCCTGCTACAATCGCATCCAGCGACGCTTGGGCCCCGTCGAGGACTGGTCGGAGGAGGAGTTCAACAAATTGAAGGCAGCTCTCGCCGAATTGGGCACCAATTGGCCGCTGATCGGCGAGCGCTTGAACAAGCCGCCGCAGAAGGTTAAGATGTTCGTCAACGCCAATCGCAAGAAGTTGAAGAACTGCTTCGGCGAGGATCGCAAGCCGGCGCTGTCGACGGACGAGGAGAGCGGCTCGAGCACGTCGAGCTGCGACGAGCCGCTGATCGACGGCGACCGGCATTCCAGCGATACGGCGAGCGCGGCCGAGAGCCCGCCCATTCGAGGGCTCAACGACGGCACGGCGAAGAAGGTCGACTACGATTCGAGCGCCACCGAAACGGCGGACGAGGCGCAAACGCCCGATCACTACCAGGCCGCCACCATAACGCCGGTGGCCAACGACGGGCAGCCGTTGAGCGTTAAAGATCTCGTATTAAATGTGATAGAATTCTCTTTGATGAAAAACACCGGGGGTCCGCACCAGACGCAGAATCCCCCGACCAGCGGAATGGCGCCGACGATTTCTTCTATATTAAATAACGATTCCAATGAAGTAACTATAGTTAGCGAATATAACCTTAACAATTTAAACAACCAACAACGGCAACAGATCCAGCAACGGTCCGATTTGAACCTGGCCAAATTGGTGACGCCGCTGATCGGGGCGACGATCACGCCGGTGTCGGGGCCCGTTCAAGCGCAGCCCCAGCCCGAGCCCATGCAAACGTCGCGCGACGATTTGATCGTGTTGCAAGTGCAGGACGGCCGCGAACCGGAAACCTTAGATCTCAGCATTAAGAAACCGCGCGAACCGCCGCCGCCGGCGCACAATAAGCAACACCAAACGCCGCCGCTGCAGCAGCAACAGCAGCCCATCCACCGGTCCGATCCCTATCTGTACCATCCGGGCCGAAAGAGCCCCGCGTTCTCCGTCAGAAACCAATCGAAAATATCTAGTCCGAAACCGGCCAATCCCAAGACGGGCTCGATCACGCTCGGCACGCCCATCATGTCGCAGCCGCGCTACGAGGTCCTCAGACAGATGCCCGACACCAAGATGGGATCCATCACGCAGGGCACGCCGGTCATTCCGCACAACATGCAAGAGAAGCGCGTGTACGATTACTACAATAAGCGAGGCGTCGTGCAACCGCAACAACAGCCGCCGCCTCAAAACCAACAGATCCCCTATCCGGGCCAGTACAGACAGCCGGCGTACAACGTCGAACAGCAGCTCAGCTCGCGGCAGATCATCATGAACGATTACATTACGTCGCAGATGATCGGCAGACGGAACGACAAAACCCAGTATTACCCCGCCAATTCGCCGCATCGCACGCCGCCCCCGCCGCAGCCCGGCCAACAGCAGAGACAGGGCGTCATCCAGAGACACACGAGACCGCAATATTTGCCGCCGGGCCACGAGGCGCTCTCCTCGTTGGTGGACGTGGCCGTGCAACAGCCGTCGCTGCCGGTGCCCGGCGCCCACGAGGGCCTCGGCAAAACGATGGCCGACAACATCCTCGAACAACCGCACCGCTACCAGCTGACGCAGCACCAACAACAGCAGATCAGGCAGCAGCAACACCGCATGGAGGAGCAGCGACGGGCGGCGGCCTACCACCAGTCGCAGCAACAGCAACACCAACAGCAGCAACAGCAACAGGTGCAGGTGCAGCACCAGCCGAACAGGCAGCCGCCGCCGCGCTCCGACAGCACCCTCACCGCCGCCAGTCTGATCGACGCCATCATCACGCACCAGATCAACCAAACGGCCGAGGGCGGCAGGGAGGTGGTGACGAACGCCAGGGAGCAGCGGCCGAGCGACCTGCTGTTTCGGGATTTCCACCGCAGCGAGCCGCAGCCGCAACAGCCGCAGGACAACGGCGACCGGCCGCCGTCGGTGATCAGCGTCGATTTGGACGGCGATCCGATGAACAAGAACCTGACGGTGAAGGAGCTGACCGATTCGGTGATCAGCCACGACTTCGGCGCCCGCCAGCCCTACTATCACCTGCAGGAGAACGTGAACGAGCAGTGGAAGCGGCGCATCCAACAGCAGCAGCAGCAGCAGCAGCATCAACAGCAGCGCCAGCAGCAGCACCACAACGACGACAAGCGCTCGCAGACGCCGCTGCAGGACGAGCGGCAGATCATTCGGATCGCGCAGCCGCAACAGAAGTACATGGAGCGCGTGGAGCCGGTATCGCCGCCGGAGAACAACCATTGGTCGGAGCAGAATTTCCGCCGGTACCCGCAGAACCAGCCGCAGATTATCGATTACGTGAAGAACAGGATCGTGGAGGTGATGCGCACGGAGGACGACAACAAGAAGGAGACGCTGCAGGACGGGTCGCATTCGCAGGATAAGGAGCGCAGCGACAGTCCGGGGGACATGGTGATCGACGAGGAGAAGCACGAGAGCGATTTCGGGCAGCCGCAGCAGCCGGGCCAACAGCCGCCGGCCGGGTTCTATTCGTTCATACATAAAGATTCCACTGCCAATGACGGTTCGAGGAACATCGAACCGAAACCTTTGTTGAGTGCGCAGTACGAGCCGCTTTCCGACGAGGATTAACGTTTGAAGATGACTGTGTTTTAGACGTTTGTTTCGAAAAAAAGGTTTTCTTCTTGTCTGTACATATTTTTAAGTGATAAGTGATATTTTAGGATATGTTTAATGTTATTTACACTTGTAATATTTGGCCCTCGATTGAATTCATTCTTATTAGTTTCGTTTCGAAATATGAACGCGTGGTTTGTGGTACTGAAATTGCTTTTTCTTACGTTTGACTGAATATCTTCAGATTGATTGATGATGGATTTTGTATTTAGCGTATTTTTATGTGTACCGTCTTTGAACCCGTTTCGTTTGTAATGGGGTTTACGTAAAATCACTCTGGGGATATAATATATTCGTGCAAGGTGGATTTGCACATTTTAACCGACAGTAATTTCCCTCAAACGTATCTAAATTATTTCCTGATGACACCGATATAATTTTATTCTTGTCGTCCACACACTAGAACTCTTAATAATGATCATTAAGATATTACCTATTTGTAATGAGTTCTTCTGTAAAAAAATGTTTAATTACTGCCGGTTAGAAATGCAAAACATTTTGTAAAATCGTGAAATAGAAAATACAATGTGTCTATTAGGTATTACGTTGAACTAAGACGGGAGAATTGATTAAGCTTACTCCGGTAATATTTATGAGAAAAAAAATAGGGATTTTTTATTTATTAAATAAGTTACAGTTGAATTTAATTTAGAGAAACGAGTTTTTGAATTACTATAATATGTATAAGAATATCGTTTAGTAAACACATTGTAGTTATTCAGTTTTACTTTTGATGAAGGGTCTAAATGTAGCGTCCAACAATTAGTAATTTTTTTTTTAATTATATAACTTGTAGATATATATTTTACTTTTATTAACTGAACACAAAACCGACTATTGAAAAAGTTGTACATATTATGTGAACATAAAAATCCTAAGTGTAAGTTCGATATACGATATGCTAGATATGGTACGTAACGTCTAAATTATTTCAATTGGTTTTTATGCGATTGTGTCCAGTTTTTTGCATTTCCAATGTTTTGTCATTTATTTTTTTATTTTTTTACGTCGTTCACGATTAGCCCTGTGCGTTTAAACGAGCGAATTTTAATGATTTTTGCGTTAGTGCAATTAATTTCTGCTATTTTTTTTAATTGTACATTTTTCTCGATGTGTACATGTTGGTTTTTTTTAATTTTAAATATATTTTTGGGAATGTAAATAACTAAACTAAGTAAAATATTTATAGAAACGTAAGGTATCCCATTGTAAATATTTGTGAATTTTTTTTTAATTTTTCTGTTTCACAAGGTAATTTAAGTCTTTACGCTTTTGGCGTCTAAAACTAGACGAACTGATCATTTTTCTACACTATAAAAGAAATGCTTCCAGAATATGTACACTGTCAATTTTTTTAGTTCATAATTTTCAGATAATGACTTGTTATTTTGTTGAAATAAATGAATATCAGTTGGAATTTGGTTTGTTTAACACCTAAAAATCACGTTTTATAATCATTTTAAAATACTTTAATGTTTATTGTATATAAATAATTTACATAATACAATAGTACCCTCAAAAAGTCAAATTGTCTAACAAGCGTTTTTTTGTTGAAATAGAACAACTTACTGTAAAACTCATTTTAAACTTAAAAAAATAACTTCACAGAGGACTTTAGTCAAAAAAAAATCATAAAACAAGTTCACAGAAATACTAGAAAATATTTCCCGCAGATTTGTAAACTTTTATAAAGAAAAATTGATGTGTGCAAATTTGATAGTTATTTAAAATTTGTTCATTATAGAATACAATGTTTCACAAATTGATACATAATTTAAAAATTTCATTTCTACATTAACGCCACGAACGATTGTTATCCTATGCACAATGGTAAGTAGAGTATAATACTCGCATTCGTTATTATAAGTAGATTTCAAAAATCATTAATATCAGATCAACAATACTTAAAACATACAGTGTGTAGAAAAATAAACTATCTCTACCCAGCCAATTATAACGCAACGTGTTCAGCAACTAGCCCGATTAACAAATACCAGCGTTTACAATTCTGCTTCGCCTATTTTCTATTTACGTAAATAAAAAAAAATCGACATTACTACTTATTACTCTTCTCTATGCTGCTTTCGATCGACGAATCCTTGTCTTTGCTCTTCAACTGTTGCCTCCACATGTTGGCGTAAACGCCCTCCTGTCCGATGAGATGCTCGTGCTTGCCGCGCTCGACGATCTCCCCGTCTTGCAGAACGAGAATCTCGTCGGCGTGAATGATCGTAGACAATCGATGCGCCACGATTATCGTCGTTCTGTTGGCGCACATTCGATCCAGCGACTCCTGAAACATTTCGACAGTGAGCGGAAATTAGCGAACGGTCTCGCGACGTACCTGTATGTTCCTTTCGGTGTTGGTGTCCAAAGCGCTGGTGGCTTCGTCGAGGAGAATGATGTTGGGCGCTTTCAGCAACGTTCTAGCTATCGCGACCCGCTGTTTTTCGCCGCCGCTGAGCCTCAGCCCCCTTTCGCCCACCTGCGTCTCGTAGGCGTCGGGGAACGTGAGGATTTTCTCGTGGATGTCGGCGCCTTTGGCGGCGCCTATCACATCCGCATCGGTCGCCGTCAATCGACCGTACTGGATGTTGTATCTGCGGAAGAAAAAAACCGATCGCTAGCGGTAAAATTTCCTTTCGGTGGTGTTACTTACTTTATACTATTGTTGAAGAGAACGGTGTCTTGGGGTACCACGCCTATAGATCTTCTCAAAGATTCCTGTGTAACAGTCTTAATGTTCTGTCCATCTATCACAATGGAACCAGTCTCGACGTCGTAAAATCTAAATAACAGCCTAATTACCGTACTTTTGCCGCTTCCCGAAGGCCCCACCTAATGTACAAATATCCAACGTTAATATTCTATAGTCATTGATTATATCATCACCAATAACCGAAGCAGCTACATTACTACAAACATTTGTACTTACTAGAGCGACGGTTTTACCGGCCGGCACTGAAAACGTAACGTTTTTCAACACCAATTTCTCCGGCAAATACCCGAACGTAACGTTGTTGAATTCGACTTCGCCCTTTCTGACGAGGACGGGGCCGGCCCCGGGCGCGTCGATCACCTCTTGCTCCTCCCGCAGCAGATCGAACATGTTCTCCATGTCGACGAAGTTCTTTTGGATCGCTCTGCAACAAACCCACGAATCCCATTAGACACTCGGTACTCATCTACCGGCCTGCAATTCACCTGTAGTAAGTACCGAACCAGTTCAACGGAACGTACAATTGGATGATGTAGGTGGCGAACAACACGTAATCGCCGGCTTGTAAAGTGTGTTTATCCACGACGAGGTACACGCAGAGCAAGCTGCCCGTCAACAGACCGCCGCAGATTATCACGTTTTGAACGGTGTTCAGTATGTTTAAAGTGATGCTCGATTTGAATTCTTCGCCCTGTTGGCAACAACGATGAGAAATTGCGCGAACGTACAGCAGATTGCCTGGTTCGCAGGCTTTCAAATTTACCTGGTAGTTGAGCACGGCCTCCCTGAAAGCGTCCACTTCGTATTGCTCGGCTCCGTAGTACTTCACCGTTTCGAAGTTGAGCAGGGAATCGACGCTTCGAGCTCGCGTAGCGTTATCGGCCAAGTTCATGCGCCTTTGGTACTTGGTTCTCCATTCGGTAATGGTGATGGTTAATACTGGAAACAACGCAGCGTTTTAAACGAGCAAACGATCGTATAGCGCCTTACCTATGTACAACATCATGGTAACGAACACGATCAATCCGAACCAAACGTTAAACGCAGCTACAAAGAATATCACAGCCACTAATATATCTACAATTGTTGGTACAATTGAGAATACAATGTAGTTCAGCAGGTTGTTAATACTATCCGTTCCTCTGTCCATCACTCTGAGGACTTCGCCGGTTTTTCTACCGAGGTGCCATCGCAACGATAAACTGTGCAAATGCCTGAACAATTCCACCTAAAAACGATTTCACACCCACGTTATTAGTGCATAAGTATATCGAAAAATATGGTGTGTATACTCGCCTCGACTTCCCTAGTCGTGTACTGTTGTATTCTAATCCACAAGAAGGATCTTAAATTGTTCAATAAACCCATCCCGCCGGTGCCGCCACCTTGCAAAAATTTAAATCCCACGTACATGAGGACCCAGTCCCAGCGGAAGACCATTTGGCTTTCTTCGACGCTCATACTGTCAACTGGAAAATTGATGCATTATTATATAATGCGAATTAAAATCGCGATGAGACCGCAACTTACCTATAAGTTTTTGATAAATAGGAACGTACAAATTGATAACCCTTCCTCCTGCCAGGAGTATGAAGCAGATAAACACGCGAAACTGCAAAGCCAAGTCCTTTTTGGGCCACAAGAACGGCGAAAGGACCTTTACTTTCTTCCAAAAATTGCTCCATGTCGATCGGTTTTCGCGGTCCTGTAACAATTCGTGGGTAATCCGTAGTTAGAAAGCGGCTGTTTTAGGTGGGAAACGATCGTTTAAAATGTACCTCGAATGTTAGATTAATATCGATATTACTGAATTTGACGTTCGATTTCTGTTTCTTGTCACCGTTCGCGTCCGCTTTGTTCTCGTTCATTTCGAGGTTTGCTCAATCGCGGTTTTACTCGCTCATATCCAGGCAATTTGCGTTTATTTATTATCTAAATTGTTCTATTTGACTAAGGCTTTTCAAACAATGCCTAACGAAAGCGATGTATCGTTTTGGTTTAAAAATTGTTCCCTTATCGAAACCGGATACAGTGCGTCCCTGGATGGAGTCGATGAGAGGAAAAAATCCTTATTTTTAAATTTTATGAAGGAAAGTTATTCTGTTTGTCGAAGAAATAAGTTTGTTGTATAGATAATATGGAATCTAATGTACAGGGTGTTAATACATTAAGTAAACATGATATTGCTTCAAGTGGAAAGTGTCATTATTTATTATTTGCACCATATTTTTATAATACTAACAGACTAAATAAAACTATTAATAAAATGAGTGACGGTAAATAAATTGGCTATATTTATTGTTTTTGAAAATCGTATTTAGCCTTTGATTATGTTATGAAGAAGTTTGTATTATTAGTGATAAATTATAAAAGTTGTATGAAAATAGTTCTACAAAATTTTGTTGTGAAAATATTTATTAATGGTTCTTCTTCCTTGACTCATTTTTCACGTTTGATTACTTCAGGGACATCCCGTACACCAGATTCCAGATTTTTTATAAAGAAAAACTTTTCTTTATAAAATTTAATACAACGATTTTTTATTATTTCATTACTCCGATTTAATTCAAAGATATTACCTATAGGTAGAAAAACTCGATTAATTCCTCAAAATTCAACAATCACACTTTTTTTTCTAACCACTAAATAATAAATTTTCTGTTTGTAAAGACGTAATTAATAAAGAACATTAATTAAACCGATAAAAATATGATACACTTTGATTAAAAAATATAGTTTACAATTGCTAATTTAAATATTAGGTGTTACACAATTCCACGATTATAAATAGGTCATACGATCAGTCCAGTCCAGATAAAATAAACAAGTATGAAGTAAGAGCTGTATCCTGAGCGCAAGCGCGTTATTTAAATCGAACCAAACTGATCTATAATTTTTCTATGATGAAGACACAAATACAGGGTGTCCCGCATAAGAACCGACACAGAAGTGGAGTTACAAATTAAAAAAAAATCAGTAATACTCAAACTTAAAATAACTAAATTTGGTATAAGTTATAATTGTTCTAAGAGCATTATTCGATAGTTAGGAGAGATCAATTGATCTATTTTAAAGGGTTCATCAGGGATGATGCTTCCTTGAAATGTTGCAGAATATGTTTACCTGATGGATGATTTAAAAATATTTTAGTTCATTTTATAGGTAATTTCATTTTAAAACTTTTATTCTTTTTGTTATTTTAAAATTCTTTATCGTTTTGACAAAAAACGCTAAAAAATAAAGTCCTGTACACTATCAATGTTGCCTAAAATCGTCGATAGTTCAAAAGTTGGCTGTATTAAGTTACAGTTGAGTTAAACAACATATTTTAGGCTCCCCTATTCTTCTCTTCTTTGTCTGTTCTTATGTGTGACACCCTGTATATAAAATAATGGGTGGATAAAAAAATTTTAATTTGCATTAAACATATTTCTCCCAAATTTATAGTAAACAAAAAAGTTGTTTCGAATCCAGCAATATAAATAGTATCGCTAATTTTATCTATACTGCATAAGTACCCCATAGAGAATGCACCGATGCAGTTGCATTAATTGAATGTCAAAGTTCACGAACTCTCGAAAAACCAGATTTAATATTTCCTAATACATTCGTAAGTGCATGCAAATTTAAATTATTCGATGATGTAACGCGTTAAATTTCCCCATAAATAACAGAATTTTTCAGATAAAATATTTCTAGTTATTAAAGTGCTTACCTTCCATTTAAATTTTCTAACAGAACCAACGAAAAGCTTAAATAACGGTTTAGAATTCTCCGCGGGTTCCATTTGTATATTCGTTTAATAAACTTTGCGAAATTTCATTTAAATAATCAACATTTTTAGAATCGTCAAACTGTCTTCTTGCAGCTTAAAGAATCGTCTGTATTCGAGCAATTAATATCACAGCGATACAAAATTACAGTCGGTGAATTCGAGTTGAAAACAACTTTTTTTGTTGTTATTATTAAAATTTATCGCAATTTTTATAGTTGTTTAAGATTTCAGCGAGGCCATTTCAACACGCTTAACCGATTCGTATGTAGAACAAGCTGATTAAAAGAATAGGATCCAATACATCGAAAATATACGAACCCGTTTCAATTCAAAATTCATCAAACTCACCTGTGTAGAACCCAAATTCCTCTGCGAATCGTTCAAATGGAAATAATCGATATTCAACATAATCCCCGGCGCTTTGAGACCCAGCATAAAAATAGTAAGGCACGTTATGTACCTCAGAACGAACAAAGTCATTTCCAACTCATCCGTTAAACTAAAAAAAAAAAATAATTTTATTACGAAATAATTACATAATTAAGAAGCAAGCTCACTTCTTAAGTTTAAACCACCATTTTTTCTGTTCCAAATTCAAAAACGCCAAATTCTCGGATATTAAGGCCAAAGTCCAAAATATAATCAACATTATACCATGACCACTGGTCGGTATTGAGGGTAACAAATAACATCTCTCAACGTTTATTATCCAAAGGGAAAATGGATAAGCAAAACAAGTTAGCACTAGCGAAACGATCTAAAACAATAACTCGTTACAATTCGTTACATTTTATACATTACAACTCACCATATACCCGTAAATAGTTCTATCATCGTAGACTGTAGCCTGCAGCACGAACCGGATGATTTCTAAAACGGGCAGAAGAATGGTAACGAATACTTGTAAATAATAGAGCTTCGATCGGGATAGGTGGTTCGGCGAGGCCTCCGTTCCGTATTTCCTGTAGATGCACAAGTGTATCGTGCCACCTATTAGTATGTATGCAGCCAGTATCGAAGAAGTGAGGGTGTTCATGAAACAGTGGGATGTTCCATGATCGATCCAAACGTCCCATATAGAAATGTTCGGGGGGCAATATGATATGTTTAGAACCATTTTTATCTGAAATAAATTTGGCAGTGATAATTTATTAGTTTCGATAATAGCATGCTAATTATTCAGAGCGGAATGGAATCTTCCGAATAAAAATGAGTGTTTTTACGAGATAAATTAGAAATGATTAAGATTTTAAAAAAAATGTAATTTACGTTTCTTACTTGCAAAAGATATTTGAAGATATATACAGATGTGCCTAATAAAAATATAAACACCGAGTACAATTTACATTACTGTATTTTTTTAACAAACGATAAAGCATGTTATCAGCAGGTTCAAGTGCTAATAAATTACTTCTGTCGAAACAAATAGGAAAACAAGTAATTGCAAATTGTAATCAAATATAATCTAATTGAAGAGGAAATAAATACAGCTTATTTGATCTCTACCAGACTCTAATGCTAATTAAATATTCGCAAGTAAGAACTTGTTGAGCTACAATTCTAGTTTATACTGAATCAACACACTTATTATATTACATCGAATTTTTTAAAATAGAGAAACCGTTTAAAATTACCAAGGACTTTAGGTAAAACGTGAAATTAGCAATGAAATAATTTAAATAAACAATGCATAATACTACGCAAATAAGTATTGCAAGAGACACCTTCAATGTCACCAGAAAATTGATTAATCAAATTAAATAACGCAGGGCAAAAATTGCAGAAATAAAATACTCACGTTGATACACTTACCACTTTTTTATAACATAGTATTTCTAATTAAGTATTCTTGTTTTATTGTTTAGTCATATTGACAGTATTGACAGTGACTTACAAAATAATAATAAAGTTGTTAAAAGAGGTTATGTTCTGCTTCTTTTTTATTAACAAGAATTATTCATTTAATTAAATAATTCAAAAACAAACAATGCTTTCAGTGATGTGTGATGATGCATTTCACTCAAGTTATCTTAATTAAATTATAAAATCGAAAAATTAAAAAGGTTTTAGTGGTTGCCTATATAACAGTGACCGTCTGAAGCGCCATCTTTAGTATACGTTCTGATTTACTGATTTTGCTCGTTTCATTTTCGTATTCTTTTTACTTCACGGCGGCATCCGGCTTGGCGTTGAAGTGCGATAAAGAGGGAATATGTATTGTTAGAGCATACACGATAGTGTAGATCAAGCAGTAAGAGAAACGTGAAATTAAAATAGTTGACGTCGAATGTTTGTACGTGCATGTCAAACTGTCAAAACAATAAAAAATCGGAATATTCGGAGTCATTTTTACTCGTTTTTTACGAATTAACAAACATAATTAACAATGTGATCATCAACAAAAAGTGTTTCTGTGTCTTCTTGGTGTTGTTTACTCGGCATAAAAAGGATATAAACAAAAAAGAGGTGTGTAAAGGTATTTATTTATTATTAAAAATCTCGCTCCAGTTTCGAAAATTCGGTGTTTCTGGCTTTTTTTACTGGAGATGAAGCGAATTTAGCTATTTGTCTATTGATATGTTTCATCTTCAGCCTTGCCTATTTATTGATCTGCTAAACCTAACCTCAATCCGATTTTCTTAATATCATTTTTTGTTTATTTTCTTTCGTAAATTTAAAATTCTTATATTGACTTGGATTTATGAGAAATATATTTGAATACAATACAAAAGATTATAATTCACTAATTTTAAATTAAAGAAAATTGTCTTATACCTACTATAAAGTTATTATAAATTTATTTCCCATGTTAGTATTAAATGTAAAGAGTTAATAAATCATAAATTAGTAAGTTAAATTTATGATAAATTTAAAGTCTACTTTAATTCTTCATTCAGTAAATTTATTGGAAATGTACAGGGTATCCAATATACAAATTTTAAACTGGAACACTAAAATATTAAATCGGAACTCTCCATATACCTTTATTAAACATTTATTTTATCCAGTGGCGATTAAATGACGCTCCACCCTGTATATTTCCTTAAAAAAATAATCGAAATTGTTTCAGTTTCCCTCTAAAATCGGCGGCGATGTTTAATTTCATAAAAAAGGCCACCGTCCCCGGGGTGACCTCCGACAAAGAGGAGAAAGAGAAAAGAAAACGGGATAAAAAGGACCGGAAAGAAAAACAAAAACGCGAACGTGCTAATATGTCGGCCGAGGAACTTTTAAGATTGGACGAGGTACGAATGATAAACCGTCGTAAAAACAGTTAGGTGTTAATGAAAATGCTTGTATCTTATCTATTGGGTTAGTGTTATGGAGGTTTATTTTTATTTTTATTTAGTTTATTGTTGTAGGCGATTAATTTCTGTTTGTTTTAGTACTACCTAATTATTATGTTACAAGCGATATGGAAATATCAGTATAATTAAATATTTTATTAAAATATTTAGATTAATTTTTAATGATTAATGTTTTTTTTTTGAATGAAAAACAGAATTTTAGTAACAAGTAAACTTTTTTTTAATATTTCGAGTTCTTGAGATTTGTGTAAAATGCGAGGCAACCTGAATAGTTTTTGTTGCATTCAAATAGAGTTATTTTAAATATTCGTTTTTTTATCATTCTATGGTATTGTGTTTACATATCGAAAATATTTTTAAGTGTTTATAGTTGATCGTGAACAATTATAAAATCACGTCATTTTGTATAGTAAAATATTCCATTACCATGACAAAGAGCCGTAATTTAACTTAAATTTTCATTATTATTAGTATTATTAGCAAAATTAATATTATCTACGACAATTAACACAAATTATTTATGCCTCATTAGCGTTTTCATTGTTAAAAAAACAACGATAAGGCTTTCACTTATTTAGTTAATAACGCAACAGAACTAGTTCAATTTGGCAAAATTCCATACGGCTATTATTTTATTCGGCCATTCCTATATTTATTTTTTCTATTTTCGTCCAGCTAGTGGGATGCTATCAAAATAAATTAAATATATTGAAAAAATGTTTCACTACCGGTTCCTGTTATTCAAAAACTTTGGAAAGTATAGGGACCATTTTTTCGCCTTGCAGACTATTATTTGCAACTTTCTCGGTGAAATATACTGTTACGCAAAACCGTAGCCAGAAAGAGATCATTATTAAATAGTTTTACATCGAGCGATAGTGAATGTATTCCACGCATCGTACATACCTACTTATTTCTTAAATTTTTGGTCGAGAGGAGAGGCCAAGTAAAAAGAAATCCAACGACACGATCGTAAATTATTAATAACGTTTTTGCGTGAACTACAATTTATTGAAAATCCGAAAATGATTTGTCTTCAAAATGCATTTCGAGATGAGATTTGATTGTATAATATGTCTTATCAATATTATTATCTCAGTCTTCTTATCGTAAGCCAATAAAATATTGATATTTGTATCGCTTCTTAGAAGTTTCTATGTAAGTCTTGTGGTGATATTACGTTACCTGTATACTAAACATAAACGTATTTTTGTGTGGAATTAGTTGTGCTAGCAATTGGATAATTGTGTAACACATTATTTACCGCAAGATTTCATCCATTGCTTTTCTGCTTACTCGAACAGGTCAGGCGCTCTTTGAAAATAAGAGGTCGCCGAAAGGACAAAGAGAAACTCCCATCGGGCATAACGGCCGATTACACGGCCGATTTTCTCGCCAGTCTAGAGAGAACGGAATCGCCGTCGTTCAACAACCAGGGCTCGTCGCCCCATCGACACCACAACGACGGCTACACCCAATCCGACAGCTCCGAGACGAGCCTCAACTCGCTGCAGAACCACAAGAACGTGCTGCCGCTGCCGCCCAAGCCGCCCAAGCGGGGCATCTTGAAAACGCCCAAGGTCAACGTGACGTCGGACAACGGCGCCGAACCGGCCACCAACGGCTACGACGCCGCCGACAATCATTCCAGCCTGGCGAGGAACACCCTGCAGAACGAATTGTACACCTATCAGAACCTGATGTCCCATCACAACGGCACCAACGGCAAGAACATGAACGCGCAATTGCTCGTCATCACTTCGACGTCGCCCAGCGCTGACAGTTTGACGGACACCACGAATTCCTCGTTCGCCACGCCGCCGTTTTCCTTGAGTCCCGTCGGGGAATCGCAAGGATTTCACAGGTTCGTAAAAATACCTCGACTATACACCAAATCTCTATGCTTTTAAGCTCGCCCAGTATCACATTTGATCCAATAGGATCGTTTGGTGCAACCTCGAAGTTCCCCGATTGCTTATTCATCTTCCCAATTGATCCTCCTAGCCTCAATTCAAACGCTTCCTAGGATAATTTGGTGCAACCTCGAAGCTCAATTCGGTGCAATCGGGAAGTTCCCCGATTGCTCTTTCATCTTCCCAATTGATCCTCCTAGCCTCAATTCAAACGCATCCAAGGTTAATTTGTTGCAACCTCAAAGTTCCTCGATTGGTTTTTCATCTTCCTAATTGATCCTCGTAGCTTCAATTCAAACGCTTCCTTTAGGTTCCAAGGTTAATTTGTTGCAATCTGGAAGTTCCCCGATTGCTTCTTCATCTTCCCAATTAATCCTCCTAGCCTTATTCAAACGCTTCTTGGGTTAATTTGGTGCAACCTCGAAGTTCCCCGATTGCTTCTTCATCTTCTCAATTAATCCTCCTAGCCTCATTCAAACGCTTCTTGGGTTAATTTGGTGCAATCTCGAGGATCCCTGACTGTTTTTCAATCTTCCCAATTAATCCTTCTAGCCTCATTCAAACGCTTCTTGGGTTAATTTGGCGCAATCTCCAGGATCTCTGACTGTTTTTCCATCATCCCAATTAATCCTCCTAGCCTGATTCGAACGCATCATACACGACCATTCGGGGTAACATCGCACATCCTCGATCGCTTGTTCATCTTCCCAATTGATTCTACTAGAATCAAACGCCTCCTATGATCGTTTGGCGCAACCTGGAAGATCTCTGGTTGTTTCTCGTTGTTCCCGAGTGCTCCATTCAACCGAATTCTTCCATTCCAGATGGTCGAGAACGGCGAATTTCGACGATACGAACCTCCCGTTGCCGGACATCGTGCCGTTGGTGTTGCCGGCGCCGCGCACGTTGACCGTGCAGCGGCAGAAGCCGCCCCGCAACGATTTCGGGTTTTCGCTGCGTCGGGCCATGGTGCTCGAACGGTGCGGCCCGACCAACGGGAACGGCGAATCGGAGGTGAACATGCGAGCGGTGATATTCGCCGAGCCGGGCGCCGTCGTGCAGCACAACAACGAAACGGGCCTGTTGCCCGGCGATAAGTTGCTGGAGGTGAACGGTACGCCGGTGGAGGGCAGGGCCCGGGAGGACATCATCGATCTCATCAAGGCGTCCGGCGATTGCGTTACTCTTAAGGTGAGTCGGTGGTTTGGTGCTATTTTAAAGTCTTGATGAAAGCTGGCGGTTGTTTAGAAGGGTCTACATTGGGGTCAGATGTTAGGGTGATTTGTGTGCAGGGAGGTAAAAGACCATTTTTTTGTATCGATATTTACAAGCAGAATCTATTACAAAACGATGAAATTGATTCGGAATTTCCTCTTAAAGTACCACTATAAAGTTCTTTAAGTTTGGTGAATTTTAAGTCATCTAAATTACTGAATCTGAACTACTACAATTCAGTTTTACTGTAATCTACTCTAATCTAATACTCTCTTCTACTTTGCTCTCTTCTACTATAGTCTCTTCTCATCTATACTGTCTTCTACTCTCCTGTCTTCTTCTCTAATCTCTTCTACTTTACCCTGTTCTAATCTAAACTATTCTATTCTCCTATTCTACTTTCTTCTACTCTACTCGCCTTTCCCCACTACTCTCTTCTACTCTACTCTCTGATCTACTGCTCCATACTTTTCTGATCAACTATCTTCTACTCCATTCTCTTCTGATCTTTTACTCTTTTCTACCCTAGTCTATTTAAATTTTTTTCTACCCTACCTGGTCTATTTGAATTTTTTAATCGTGTACTCCATTTGTTTGAGGACTTGTCGTTTGGTGTTATTTGGTCCCAGTAAAATTCGTATGTAAAATTGCACTTGATCGTGGATTGGGATTCTTTTTTTTCTGTGGTAAATTCAGTCTATTGTGTTCGGATTGAGTTAGCCTAAAAAGATTTTCTAGGTTGAAACATGACATTTAACTTAAGCAAATCGTTACTGAAAATGTAGAAGGATAGAAAGCGAAACGTGTTAAGCACATATAATTATAACGGTGCTATAGAAGTACTTGCGATAAGATGCATTTATACACGAGGAGATTCTTGTAAATGAAATAGTTCTTCGGATAAGAAAATTAAGTTTGTTAATTTGTTTTGAGAGTTGGATAAAATGCGTAAACGAGCGCAAATTTCACGAGTCGCGCTTCGTTTTAATTCAATTAGGATTTTTAAGGTCGCTGTATTAGGTATTCGTATTTTTTTTAGTACGGTGATGAGCACAATAAATTAGAGAATAATGGCGAAACGGAACAACAAACGTTTACATTGTTTTTTCTGAATGAAAAATAGTCATTACCACTCCATGAAAGCGGTATCTGGAGCATGTCCTTCGTCTACTTTTATTTTAATCGGCTGTTAAATAAACTCTTAAATTAATTTAGAATTGAATGATGGAATGTTTTCCACTGAATTATGAATTAAAATAATTATATTCGATCATTTTTTAATCATTCTTCTAGTAGGGTAAGATCTGTGGAACAAAAACACATATTAAGGACAAGAATAATTTGTAATTCCAGTCGCAAATACCGACATAACATATTCTAATTTTATCTATTATTTAATAATTCAAGTAGAAAGTAGGTGCTTTCAATGTAGGCAGTGTTAAAATCAAGGTTAAATTTTATTTAATATCAATAAATTATCAGATATTAAAAGTGGAATATATTTGTAATTGAAAATTGCAACGAAATGATACATTTATGTAAACGTTCCTTAATCACAAAGCATTTGCAATTAATAACCACCGTTTTATTAATTTACAAATAAGCAGATGTTATTGGCAGAAGTGTGGATAATTGAAGGTAAGCGAGGATAATTACCCTTCAATTCGTATTTAACAACACGGCAATTACCCAGGAAAATTGCGGGCTTTTTGAAATCAATGACCAGCTTGTAAAAGGGCTTTGTACCCTCATGTTTTTTATGCAGCCAATTTAGAATAAAACCAACTAGAGTTTATTTAATATTTTGCCAGAGTGCTCGAAACAAGACCAGTAAAATGAAAGTAACATTACGAGATCAAAGACATAATTATTCAAGTTCTATTTATAAGCGCACTTATGTTAGATATCGGTAAATCCTATCGGTCAAAGTCGAAAATCGAAAACTCCACGCCATATTACAGGTACAAAACCTATTCGTTGAAATCTCGAAATTTCCTCGCGAGAGATTGCTTTATCGTGAAGTTGAGTTACGCAAGGACCGTGTAAGGAACTGGTATCATGAGAGGCCAAAAGTTACATGTGTTTATTTTATATCTCGTTAACCATGTAGGGAGGTGGACATAAAAGTGCATACAAACGTGCGCCCGCCGGCGCAGAAGAATTTAATCAGCGGATATTTGATTGATTTAAAATGTACTTACGAGCCAGGAAGTAATGAAACGCTAGAAAAAAAGGTTTATATATTATGCTATCTAATTTTCTATAATTGGTTGGGAAGGGTGGAAGCCTTATGGTGGTATTATCGATAACGATATAAACTTGGGAATATGCTTATCTGCGTTAGGTAACTAATTATTTGCAAGGTGAATCGATTTATTTTTATGATATCTAGTTTTATGTAATGTATTTAGTGGGACTAGCTGTGTAGCTCGTCTAAAATCGATTTGCTTGCTTAACTAGGACCCCTATTTCCCATGCACGACTGTCTACAGTTCCAGTTGGAAAACTCCAAAGGCAATTAACTCGTTTGTTACGAAAGACCTCTTTTTAATTTTATTGCCAATTGCATTATTTTTCTCAATAACAATCGCATTTTCTCGATGTTTGTGACTCGAATTGTATTATTTTCACCGATTTTCTAAGCACAAATTACAGTTGAAAAACGCAGTATTCGTCAGTCGCATTTAAACATTCCACAATCGGTATTGTCGATGGTTTTTTGCGACATTCCTAGCGCGAGGACGTTTTTTTTTTCTATTGTTGCGATACAATTTCTATTTCTTCTGAAAGATTATAAAGTAACGTTAAATCGTTTCCCGTAACGCGCCGATACTTTCCTCCTTGCATCAATCCGGCGAAACCTTTGAAAACGGCGCACAATGCAAGCGTTATGTAACAATCACCGAAACAATTATCATACGAAGTAGTGTATGAATCTGAACATACATATTTTCAATACCTTTTACACGAGCCTACCAAAGGTTAATTTACATCGGGCGCAAGACGTTCCTGATGTTAATACAATGCGGAGAAAAACGCTGTTATTGTCTCACGGTGACTCATTGTTTGTGTCACTGGAGACGCGCTGATGATGCATACGAGTTAAAAAATAACAGAAAATTAATGCGTGTTTGGTGCCGGGACCTACGACGAGGTCACATTCGTGATACCCATATGTCCAATTAATGTAATACAACAACCGTTTAATTGGACTAAATGCACGCCAGACGTACGAATTGGTTTTTCGTGCAGGTTGCGAAGCCCTTTTTTTAAATTATCCTCCATTCGCCATCAGGAGATTGTTGTAAACCTTAATTTTGTATGCAAAACCGAGCACGAGCGACTCAATGAAAAAAATTTTGCCTTTACTATTCACTAATAACATTGTCTAAAGTCTAAAGAGTTCTTTAGACAATGGTAATAATCATGTTTGGTTCCGGTCTATGTAGTATGCGGTCTACCTAAATTTATTTTATGCACAGCAACAAACATCTAGATTTTGAAAATTGGATTTCGGAAACTGTAGGAGATAGAAAAAATGTTTAAATGGACAAACATTTGCAGTTTTCTGAGGCATCTTCTCAACCAGTTTCAGTTTTGCAAAACATGTCAAAGTATTTAAATGTCCTTAAATGTATAATGTAAGTAGACCACAAATATTATAGTAGACCGCATTGTAGACTGGCACATATTATGGTGCCTATGGTTTACTCCCTCAAGAAGGGTCTTTTCCTTTCTTGTGAAAGCGAATAGAGTATAATAATTTTTAAAAATCCCCAGAAACTCACTTAAAAAGCCTCACATGTACTCAATATCGATCTAGGGCCCCAAAAAATCCACTGAATCATTGCATAAATTAAAATGATTCATTTTAGCGACCGCATTAATTAAATTCGCTCAACGACTAGAGGGAGTTTCTCTAATTTCCCGCCGATTTTACGACTTTTAGCGGGGCCCTAAAACCTTTCCAACCCCCTTTAAAACAGGGAACGTTCGTTTTAAACAACAGTTATGATGATGATGCATTGTCTCGTTCCAGGTCCAACCCGTAGCGGAACTTAGCGAGTTGAGCAGACGGTCGGGTCACGATGGGGGTGAAATCCATCTTGACGATTCGAACATACGCGGGGGGACGTTGCGAAGGTCGGGGAGCAGACGGTTCGATAAAAACTCAACGGTAAGTTGATACATTATTATCATGTCGTGCCCGCAGATTTTACGTTTACTATGTTGTATACGGGATGGACTATGAATAGACACTTGTACAGGGTGTCCCAAAATTGGATGTAAAGCAAAAGTGGCGAGAAACAACCTTAAACTTGCCCTATACATGCTAAATTTTCATCGATTCTGAAACGTATATTTTTCAGTTTGTAATCTATTACTAATTTTTATAATATCCAATTAATTAAGGTGACAATACATCGTAATTTATCCGGTAATTTACAAGTATAATGACGCGATTTTTGTAGCGCCACCTGTTCTAGGAAGCGAGCCGGGGATCTTGTAAAGCCAAAGAAACTGGTTTGGCTTAATAAGAGTATTACGGCACTTTATAAATATTTAAACGAGTTACGTGAACGCGAAATGCACAACATTAAAGGTTACTAGGTAATGTTGTGATTTTTTTTATCGTTTCGCTTTTGTTGAACTTTCGACTTCTGATAATCTTGTAATGTGCAGAGCATTCAATTGAGACACACTGTAAGATCTGAGAGATATTTGATTGCATTTTAAAACGCATCGAACGGAGAGAGCAGAATGTTTTCGACATTTTCGAGCAATAATGGCAACGTAAACAATAATTATGGTATCGTATTTCGTACAATATAGTAATTACGCAGGTGATGTTTAATTGGCCCCGCCGGAGATCAATCAACTTTCCAGCGGCGTAGCGGCGACATTTTTTTGTTGCTCGACTAAATTATTTTACGCGTTTTTACTGTTGGATGCCTGCGAGTGCGTCGAACAAGGTCGCGATTTTGTTGGAATTCAATTTAATGAAAAAAACGCCGTGATCGTACTCGTAAAACGCTTATTACTTACGTGCGGTCCCGTTAGATTCTCTCGAGTACCTCGCTTGGTACAGGTAAATCCAATTTCACCTACGCGTTTATTTACCGCACTCGCTATTTCATCATACACTCGGTGCTTACAACTTTTGTTTTCATATTTTCTAAATAAAATTGTTTATTAAATAGTACACACCTTTAAATAATTAAATAAAGTACCATACAGGATATTTTACAAACAATTATTATCATTAATGTACAAAATTGTTAGTTCTTTTTTTTTATTACTAATTACATAATTTATAATTTATTGGTTTGCTACCGACATGTTTGAGGTGAAACCATGACATCCTATAAGGAAGTGTTCCACTATCGGACGCGCGTTAAACTTATTTACGATAATGTAATTTTATAATGGACACTTCCTATCCGTGATTACATACATTAAATTAACGGATTAATCGTCGGGCTATTTCGATTCGTTTCAGGAAGATTAATCGGTCGATCGATCGGCGCCCTGCCACAGTCAAATTGACTGATTGATCGAAAGAAAAGAGTAATATTTGATAATGGGGTTTTCTAATAATATAATTGAAATATTAACGATGTTTAGATCTTGCTGAAAGATGTGCGAGTGACTGGTTTCTTAATCGAAACTTGGCGGCTTCCGCAAATTGTTCTCGACGAGAATCTGTTTGTTTTAATAACGGAATTTATTATTCTACTCCCATTAATGTCTTTCAGAATATACCTCATTGCGTAAGTGATGGTAGCTATTACACGATTTTTTATACGAGAAAACTTACAATGTAAATTTTACTTTGGATGGGATTTTTGTGTAATAAACTCGTTCTTTGTAGTGCATAAGATAATAGCGTTGGTGTGTGAAGTATGTGGGAGAATATTTTGGTAGCGGTAATGGAGTGTATAAAGCCACCATACATCTAATTTCGAATGCAACGCGTATAATCTTTATATGCGGGTCACAAGTTTATTGACACATTAACTAAAATCTATTTCTCGTTCTAATGATATCGACGTCCCGTACAAGTGCTGTCGTTTCGTGATAATAACTGTGGATGTCTTTCGTCTATTAAATTGAAAATAACTCATATTTAACTGCACTATTATATTTTTCAAAAATTCCCAACCAATTGGAAACCTGCAAATAAGTGTTGGTATGCATTTAAAATGTCGATTTAAATCTGTTTTGTATGTTTCCTTATTTATTTTACAGTGCTTTGTGTAAACATGTGGCCGGTTTTATTACTTTACCAATAAAACCGTTATCAATTATATCACAAGGGTAGTAAATTTGCTGTCAAAATCAACATCAACATCAATTTATCTAACTTATAAACACACTAATTCCTTATTGTCTTGATTGAGAAACCCATTTCTCGATCATAAAACAGCAATAAAGCGTGTGTTACGTTTTTACTGTCATTTATACAGAAAAATCCTTGAACGTTTGTTAAGATCAAGGGAAGAATGTCTTTGATTGTTTGTAGTGGAACGTTTTCTGTTACAATTTTTTTAGTTATAATTATAACTCAGAATGTACGTAGAAAATTACATAACTTAGTTTTTTTCCCAATTTGAGTGATTTATTCAGGAAGTCAGATTTGTGCATAATGATTATTATCAGAAAAAACTTAAAACCACAGAGATAAGACAAACTGTCATGTTCCCAGTTTATTGCTAAGAAAAAGTTAATTTATATTTTTTTACTTTGATTATTATTTAATTAAAATTTATTTATAATTATTTCGGTCAGTTTTCAGTATTTTTATACAATCTCGTTTTTGTTGAGGTAGGTAGAAGGATAATTATTTTAAGTTAAGTTAAACTTGACATATTGTATATGCAACTTTTCATACACATGTGTAATAGTTGTTGCCTATACTGTAGTAACGGGTATAGTATATTTTATTTGTACAACATCATGAAATGTGTGCTGCCTATATGTGAGGATGTAATTTATTATTATTTTTTAGATTTAGTCAACTTTTAAATGTTTCTATTATTTATTCATTCTGTAGTTCAGTTTTAAGCTTAATTTACCCATTCTCTTATAGACATTTTCCTTAAATTTTCTCATGTTATTCCATGAGTTGTAATACACTTGTAGCTTTGAATTTTTGAAATATTTCAATGGGAGTCAACCGAAACCTACATACAAATTCACGCAATTCACGCCAGTACGTACATTACTGGTATTCGTAACAGGTATTTGCAGGTTTATTCCAATAAATATGCCAAACGCCGTTACAAACCCACATTTTCTATTATGAAACCAGCCTACTTGTAATGTTAAAAAAACAGCCCCGCTCGTTTTGATATGGGATTTATGAATTTAAAACTCATTGCGACTCGACTGCGACAAATCTAATTTATTTATGAATTTAATTATGCGAACGCGAACGGTAGATACATCACGATGCATGCGATGCAAATGCCGATTTCGCGTTCACGAAAGTAAAAGTAAATTCCTTGAGTATGCTTATTACTATTGCTATTACTTATTACCAGAGATGTATAAACATCATTCCATGGCAGGATTGGATTAAGGAATATCTTTTCATAATTCGAGGAACCCTCTAGAATGTTAAAATTTCTATGTAAACAACTTAATGACAGCTGTCAATGTCAAATTGATTTGGTTTTTTTTTGAAACTCGAGGAATCTCCTGTCCTATGCATTAAAATTATTGGTATGTAAACAAATTGACACCCGTCAATGAGTTGCTTATCTTTTCACATAACTCGAGGAATCTCCCAGTATGTTAAAATTGGTATGTAAAACAACTCATTGGCAGCTGTCAATATCCAATTGATTTGTTTCTTTTCATAAATCGAGGAAAATTGGTTTGTAAACAATTTAATGACATCTGTCAATGTCAACTTGATTTGTAATTGCATGAAAATTCGTTTCTATAGAAACGCCAATTGAATGAATATTTATGATTGGTTGATTTTACTAGTATTTTAATAAGTTTGGCATGTTTTTTAATTTTTTTTGTTGGATTTACTGGAAAGAATAATGACCGAACTGGCCTGAACCTGAACTAGATTATGATTTATTGTTGGCTGTAAGTGTTTTCTGGGAGGTAACAGAAATGATATCGCTAATTGAGTAATGAGCCAATTACATAGGAAATTACCCTAAATAATGACCGTTTACTGTATCAAATAAAGTTGATTTATATGGATTTGCCAGCGTTATCGAAAAATAAAAAAAATAATCCGCACGATTTTGCTTGAGGTCGAGTTGCTTTACTTCATATGTTTGCAATTTATGATTTGAATTTTTCATTTATTAGCAAGTAGTTTTTCTATGTTACAAGCATAAATCTGGTAATTTTTATCCGATAAATCTAATGTAAGAAGAATTGATATTTTTAATAAATACATTCTAATGGGAAAACTGAGACGTAAAACACCTGTATAAACAAATAAGGCGCACCAAACAATGTACAAAGAATGTCACATTTATGATAAATATGTAATTGAACAATATCTAAACCACCTGCTATCCTCGGGCTAAGTAAAGTAGCATATTCTTTGGAATATCCTCGATTATTGTCGAGGAGAAAGTATTTTCAAATTTCTGCATTATTCCTACGCACAAATAAGGAAGAAAAGAAACTTTTTTTACCGGATTTTCTATTAGTGTGTTTATAACGTTTAATTACCAACGTATTAGTTTTGTAAATAATTAGAGAAATAAAATACAATTTTTATTCTATTTAACAAGTATCACAAAGTAGTATTCACCAGCGGTAGCCGGCGAATTATTATTCTGTGATAGCACTGTATCGGATAAATTCTTTGAATTTGTCTCACAATCAGATACCACTGAAGAATATAAAATTACTTTTGTCGGCGTACAAACAAATTGTAAACGCCGTCACGATATAATTTAACGCTCGACGGGCGACTTAACACGAGGGTAGGTTTTGTAATTTAAATCCGTTAATGTTAATCCGTTGAATTTGGCTAGAAGAGTGCATTAGGAAACAGGATGGAACTGTTATATTTTTAAATCTCGTCCGAGTGTCGTTAACACGGATATTGTGCGTACATTCGAAAAAGGAATACTGAAACGTTCCACTAAAGAGCTTCCAATTCCAATTCCAATAATTCTTGTTAATCGAGTTCGAGCA